TAAAAACAGTTTATTTGTTTTGGATTGTGATATTTTTAATTATAAAAACTAATTAAAAACAATAAAGCTCTTTTTTCTTTTTCTTTTTATCGTGCTTGCTGTTTTGTTTTTTCTTTGTTAATTAAGCTCATCATTTATTTTATTCATTTGCTTTTATTATTAATTAATTTTATTATTTCATATTTTTTCTTCATTTTTTCCTTCTAATTAACTATTTAATGATATATTTTTTCTTCAATATTTAAAAAGGTCTAATTAAATTGGTGATGAAGGTGCATCAGGCTTAGGTTCAGCTTTAGCAAAATGCATTAATCTCTCAAATTTGACACTTAACCTTGGGTAAAAACAGTTTATTTGTTTTGGATTGTGATATTTTTAATTATAAAAACTAATTAAAAACAATAAAGCTCTTTTTTCTTTTTCTTTTTATCGTGCTTGCTGTTTTGTTTTTTCTTTGTTAATTAAGCTCATCATTTATTTTATTCATTTGCTTTTATTATTAATTAATTTTATTATTTCATATTTTTTCTTCATTTTTTCCTTCTAATTAACTATTTAATGATATATTTTTTCTTCAATATTTAAAAAGGTCTAATTAAATTGGTGCAATGGGTGCATCAGGCTTAGGTTCAGCTTTAGCAAAATGCATTAATCTCTCAAATTTGACACTTAACCTTTGGTAAAAACAGTTTATTTGTTTTGGATTGTGATATTTTTAATTATAAAAACTAATTAAAAACAATAAAGCTCTTTTTTCTTTTTCTTTTTATCGTGCTTGCTGTTTTGTTTTTTCTTTGTTAATTAAGCTCATCATTTATTTTATTCATTTGCTTTTATTATTAATTAATTTTATTATTTCATATTTTTTCTTCATTTTTTCCTTCTAATTAACTATTTAATGATATATTTTTTCTTCAATATTTAAAAAGTTACAATTAAATTGGTGATAGAATAGAATAGAAATACTCGCACATATAAATGCACTCAGAATACAACTTAAAATTAATTTTTTATAATATTTATTTATTTAATTATGTATTTATAGTTAGAAGCTATTATCGAATTATTTTAAATTCACCAATTTTTAAATAATATACAGCGTATCAGTGGTATGCTTTAGCTCGTTTATTGCGTTTATCTCGTTTATATCGTTTAGCTCGTTAATTATAAAAACTAATTAAAAACAATAAAGCTCTTTTTTCTTTTTCTTTTTATCGTGCTTGCTGTTTTGTTTTTTCTTTTTTAATTAAGCTCATCATTTATTTTATTCATTTGCTTTTATTATTAATTAATTTTATTATTTCATATTTTTTCTTCATTTTTTCCTTCTAATTAACTATTTAATGATATATTTTTTCTTCAATATTTAAAAAGGTCTAATTAAATTGGTGATGAAGGTGCATCAGGCTTAGGTTCAGCTTTAGCAAAATGCATTAATCTCTCAAATTTGACACTTTACCTTGAGTAAAAACAGTTTATTTGTTTTGAATTGTGATATTTTAAACTATAAAAATGAATATAAAAAAAATTTCTTTGAATTTATTTGATTTATTTTTTTATCTTTTTTATTGCACTAATATTATTTTATTTATAAATTTAAAGAATAATTTAATTTAAAAGTTTATTCTATTTTTATATTTATTTAAAATTTACACAGATTTATTTTAAAATTTTTAGCTCAATGAAAATTTCATAAAAATTCAAAGTAAAAGGCAAGTGTCTTAAATCATAAAGATTAGTTGTCTTTAATTTAAATTTCTTATGATAAACAGCTGGTGAAAAAAGGATGAATCAATATAAAATGTTTGAATAATATTATATATTTTATTATTTAATATTTTTAAAAAGTGTTTTTAACCTAAAATATAAATAGATTTATAGTTTTTATTATTGATTTTAAATTTATAAATATCATTCATATTTTTGTAAGTAAATAAATTATTTATTAAAAATAAAAAAATTTAAAAATTAAATTTACTTAAATAAATTAAATTCTCTTAAGCAAACCCTCCGAATTCTCCAAAAACGATAAAATAATTTGGAACTTTTAGTTTAATATATCTTATTAAATTAAAAAAATACCAAGCTTTTATATGCCAGTTATAATATTATCTTAAATATTATCCATGAATCATATTTCTATCCTTTTTTTATTTATCATAATTAATTAGATACCATGATTTAAATAAAACCTTAGGGAGAAATCAAATTTTACTTTTTAATTTAATTTTTGTGATTTTAATTTTAATTTATTTAATAAGCTATTTACTAATTTACCAAAATAAATATGATATCCATATATATATATATATTTAAAAGACAATAAATTTAACTATATTTTAGTTTAAATTATCTTTTTACAAAATATTATATTTTTAAACATATGTTTTCTATTATTCAAATATTTTATATTTATTCATACTTTTTCACCACTTGCCTTCACAAAAAAAAACTCTTATTTATCTGTAAGACAACTAATTTTTTTGATTTAAGACACTTGCTTTTTACTTTCAATTAGTATGATTATTATTTAAAACTTTTATAATATTTATATATATATTAAATTTAAAAAAATTAAATTTGAAAATAAAAAATGAGTTAATAAATTAAGAAAGATAAAAATAATAAACACAAGTATAATCAAAAAGAAAAAGAAAAATAAATCGAATTAAAGCTAATAAACAAATTAAAAGAGTTTTATTGTTTTTAATTTAATTTTACAAATAAAAATATCTTAATCCAAAACAAATAAACTGAGTTTACCTAAGATGAAGTGTCAAATTTAAGAGATTAATGCAATTTGCCAAAGCAGAACCCAAGCCTAATGCACCTTAATCATCAATTTAATTTCCACTTTTTAAATATTGAAGAAAAAAAAATAATTAATTAGTTTTTTAGAAGGAAAAAATTAAGAAAAATATGAAATAATAATAAGAAATGAATTAATAAATAATAAAAGCAAATGTTAAAAATAAAAAAACGAGTGAAATTAAGAAAGTTAGAAGAAAAATATAAGCAAGTATAGCAAAAAAGAAAAAGAAAACTAAATCAAATAAAAACCTAATAAACAAATTAAATGAGCTATATTTTTTTAAATTCAAATTTATTATTTAAATTATCACAATCCAAAACAAATAAATTGTATTTACCTAAGATCAAGTGACAAATTTTAGAGATGAGTGCAATTTGCTAAAGCAGAACCTAAGCCTAATGCACCTTATTCATGAATTTAATTGTAACTTTTTAAATATTCAAGAAAAAATATATAATTAATTAGATATTTATTAAAAAAATGAAAAAAAATATGAGAAATGAATTTAAAAATATTAAGTAAAAATGTTGAAAATAAAATAATAAGCTATATTAAGAAAGATAGAAGAAAAATAAACACAAGTACAATAAAAAAGAAAAAGAAAAATAAATTAAATAAAAAGCTTTAAATAAATTAAAAGAACTATATTGTTTTAAAATCAATTTTATAAGTAAAAATATCACAATCTAAAACAAATAAATTGTTTTTACCGAAGATCAAGTGCCAAATTTGAGATATTAGTGCAACTTGCTAAACCAAAACTTGATGCACCTAAATCACGAATTTAATTTGCACTTTTTAAGTATTGAAAATTATATATAATTAATTAGTTATTTGGAAGGAAAAAATGAAGAAAAAATATCAAATAATAATAAGTCAAAACAAATAAACTGAATTTACCTAAGACAAAGTTTCAAATTTGAGAGATTAGTGCAATTTGCTAAAGCAGAACCTAAGCCTAATGCACCTTAATCATCAATTTAATTCCTACTTTTTAAATATTGAAGAAAAAATAAATAAATAATTAATTAATTAGTTATTTAGAAAGAAAAAATGAAGAAAAAATATCAAATAATAAAAAATAAATTAATTAATAAATAATAAAAGCAAATGCTGAACAAAAAATAAAAAGTAAAATTAAGAAAGATAGAAGAAAAATAAACATTAAATTTTATAGGTAAAATATCACAATCCAAAACAAATAAATTGTTTTTACTTAAGATGAAGTGTCAAATTTGAGAGATTAGTACAATTTACTAGACCAGAACCTAAACCTGATGCACCTTAACCACTAATCTAATTATCACTTTTTAAATATTGAAGAAAAAATATATAATTAACTAACTATTAAGAAAGAAAAAATGAAGAAATAATATGAAAATACTAATAAGAGATGAATTAATAAATAATAAAAGCAAATTTTGAAATAAAACAATAAGCTAAATTAAGAAAAATAAAAGAAAAATAAACACAAGCATAATAAAAAAGAAAAAGAAAACTAAATCAAATAAAAAGCTAATAAACAAATTAGCAGAGCTATATTTTTTTAAATTCAATTTTATTAATAAAAATATCACAAATCAAAACAAATAAACTGTTTTTACCATAAATCAAGTATCAAATTTGAGAGATTATTGCAATTGGCTAAAGCAGAACCTAGGCCTGATGCACCTTAATCGCCAATTTAATTGTAACTTTTATATATTGAAGAAAAAATATATAATTAATTAGCTATTTAGAAGGAAATAATGAAGAAAATATATGTAATAATGATAAAAAATGAATTAATAGATTATAAAAGCAAAAGTTGAAAATAAAAAAAGAGTTAAATTAAGAAAAATAAACACAAATATAATAAAAAAGAAAAAAAAACTAAATTAAATATAAAGCTAAAAAACAAATTAAAACAACTATATTTGTTTTTAAATTCAATTTTATTAGTAAAAATATCACAAACAAAAACAAATAAACTGCTTTTACCTAAGATTAAGTGTCAAATTTGAGAGATGAATGTAATTTGCTAAAGCAGAACCTAAGCCTATTGCACCAATTACACCAATTTAATTCTAACTTTTTTAAATATTGAAGAAAAAATATATAATTAATTAGTATTTAGTAGGAAAAAATGAAGAAAAAATATGAAATAATAATAAGAAACTAATTAATAAATAATAAAAGCAAATGTTGTGTAAGCATTTGTTATTATATTCAAAATCAATCATAATATTTTAGATTATTATACTTTTTAAATTCTTTTCTTAATTCAAATCTCTAGTAAAATAACATAAAGTAGTTTAATGCACACTACATTATTCAAATTTTTTTTAATATTGAAATAAAACAATAAGCTAAATTAAGAAAGAAAAAAAAATACACAAATATAATAAAAAAGAAAGAGATTACTAAATCAAATATAAATCTAATAAACAAATTAAAAGAGCTATCTATATTCTTTTAAATTCAATTTTATAAGTAAAAATATTGCAATTCAAAACAAATAAACTGAAGTTACCTAAGATAAAGTGTCAAATTTGAGAGATTAGCGCAATTTGCTAAAACAGAACCTAAACCTGATGCACCTTCATCACCAATTTAATTTCCACTTTTTTAATATTGAAAAAAAAATAATTAATTAATTAATTAACTTTTTAGAAGGAAAAAATGGAGAAAAATATGTAATAATAATAATAAGAAATGAATTAATTAATTAATTAATTAATAAATAATAAAAGCAAATGTTGAAAATAAAAAAAGGAGTTAAATTAAGAAGGATAGAAATAAATAATAAACACAAGTATAGTAAAAAAGTAAATCAAATAAAAAACTAATAAAAAAATTAAAAGAATTATATTGTTTTAAATTCAATTTTTTGAGTAAAAATATCACAAACCAAAGCAAATAAACTGTTTTTACTCAAGAATAAGTGTCAAATTTTAGAGATTAGTGCAATCTGCTAAAGCAGAACCTAAGCCTAATGCACCTTAATCATCAATTTAATTTCTACTTTTTAAATATTCAAGAAAAAATAAAAAATTAATTCGTTATTTAGAAGGAAAAAATAAAGAAAAAATATCAAATAATAATAATAAAAAAATCATTAATAAATAATAAAAGCAAATATTGAATGAAATAAAACAATAAGCTAAATTAAGAAAAATAAACACAAATATAATAAAAAAGAAAAAGAAAAGTGAATCAAATAAAAATCTTATAAACAAATTAAAGAGCTATATTCTTTT